GTTCCCTGCTTGTAATGAAATAGAGATCTGCTTGTAATTTAACAAGTCTGTGTTTGTAACTCAACAAAACTCTGCTTGTAACTGAAATAGTCGATGACTTGATTCAATAAACAGAAGTATGCTTGTAACTAAACAAAGATATGCTCGTAACAAAAATGGTACCTCTTAGTTAGGGTGTTCAAAATTGAACCGGACCGACTGGATCGACCCAAACTGATCAACAATCAAATAAAACTGAAAGGAATTAGTTTGATTCGGTTTTAGAAGTCTTTAAATCAATCGGTTCAGTTCAATTTTCGGTTTTAGCCCCTAAGAAAACCAAACCAAACCAAACCGAACCAAACTAACCCTTTTCTTTTTTTGTCCTTATTTTGTAATTTTTATTTTTATACTTTTTTTTTTATAATTATGAAGCCCATGAAAAAATCATTAATTAAACAAATATAATAAAATTTACTACTAATATTTATCTTTGCTAATAAAATGTATATGTATTTTATTTTTTAGTTACATGATTATTTTTATTTATCCAAACATTTTCAAAATTCAAAACTGAACTGAACCTATCAAGTCAACTAAACCAAACAACCTAGGTCGGTTTGGTTTGGTTCAGTTTTTTTGTAGGCACAAAACCGATTATGTCCAAGAAGGTTTAGAACCGACATGTTCGGTTCGGTTTGGAAAATGTCCAAAACTGAACCGAACTGAACCTTTGAACACCCCTACTCTTACTGAGCTAAATATTTAATTTCAAAAAAAAAATTATTACTGATCGATATATAACCGACAAAAGTGGGTCATAAATTAGTGACCCTTTTTGTCATCGCTTGAGTTGGGTCACTAATTAGTAATCACAGTAATGGATCATTTGTTGAATTAATGACCCCAATAGTAACCGCTTGAAGGAGAATCACTAATTAGTAACCCTTTTTCATAACCACCAAAATCAGGGTCAATAATTAGCGACTCATTTGTAACTGCCATCATGGGGGGTCACTAGTTAGTGACTAATTGTAAAGCACATGTCCAAATTTGTGACCCTCTTTATAACTCGCTAAGAGAGGATCACTAATTAGTAGCCTATTTTGTAAATCGACTCAAATGCAGTTACTAACTAGTGACCCTTTAGTAACTAAAATATAGCGGTTGATAATTTCATGATCGATTTCTGACTGAAGTGACTATGGTCACAAAATCGGTTATTATTTTTTTTCCCAAAAATGAGAGTGAGTCAACCACTAATCAGTCACTAATTAGTGACCCATTTCCGCGGTCACTAATTTGTAATCACTAATTGTGTTTTCTCTAGTAGTGTTATAATATATTAAATTCTATAATATAATACATTATATTATATACTATATAATTTATAATATTTATATAATATAATATATACATATCTGACTTATTTTATATATATATATATATATATACACAAACCAACACACACACACACACACGAATTTAATATTTTAATGTCAGAATTAAAAATTTTAAATTTTTTAATATGTTTAAAATATATGCAAATATTTTTAAATTTTTAAATTTTTATATCTTTATAATAAGAGTATTTTTATCTTTGAATATTTTTTTATTTCCTTTTTTATTTTTATTCTAACATACTAAACATTATGATTGAATGGCAATTTTTATTCCAATCATTGTATACCAAAAATGTTTATAAAAATTCTGATTCTATTCCATTCCCATTCCCATTTCCTCGTTCCATTAAAAATTATTTTATCATACAATGTACAACCAAACATTTTTAAAAGTGAAAACGTGGGAAGATGTAACATTTTGTCCATGTTTATGAGGTACACCCCATAAACCCCCCCCCCCCAAAAAAAAAAATATATATAAATAAATAAATAAATAAGCTTTTCAACATTGGTGGCTTGACCATTTCCACTTGCACCATTTGGTCTTTGCCATCTTTATCCATGCCACCATAAGGTCAACACCAAAATCCTCTAAGTCAATCAAAGTGTTATGAGACCTATACTCCACCAAACCGCAAGGACACCTTTATCTCCCTCCTTTGGGGCATCTTCAACATAAGCAGTGTTGTTGGCACCTTAATCCCTTCTATTTGAAATTATTATCTTAATCCCTCCAACAATTTTGTAACGATCGTTAACCCTTTCATTTAGAGTTTTTAATAAATTGAATTTTAATCTGAATTTGATCTAAATTCGATCTAAAATTTAGAATTTAAATTTAATTAAAATATTCAATAAATCAGATATAATATAAAATATCCATAATCTGAAATAAGTAAATCAAATATGAAATTATGCAATATAATCTATTAAGGATCCGAATCTGAATCCGAATCAAATTTTAAAAATATATTTTTAATTAAATTAATAATCTTATATATATGATATTAATAAATTTAAAATTGTAAGAACTAAATTAAGAAAATTTAAAAATCAAGGACCAACATGATTAATAAAGTAAGTTGAAGGACTTAAATATAAAATAGGATAATTTTCTTGTCGAATCGGATTTCTTTTATCAAATTTCTGATTGTCCATTAGATTCACATATGATTGAACAAATATAAATCTTATAAGATTTCAAATCGAATTCAAATATAGTAATAGTTAATAGCATGCAGCAGTTTTGCCATGAGAAAAAATTAGAAATTTTATAAAAAAATAAATAAATATATTTATAAAAATAAAATTATCATTTTGATCCTAAAAGTTTATCCATCATCATTTTACAAAAATTATCTCTCAAACACCATTTTACTAATTTCAAAAACTTTTTTACACATTTTGAAAATACCCCCTACTTCTAATTAAAATTAACTTTACTCACTTTTATATAAAACACCAACTTCTAATTTTACAAAAACTCTTGCAAACACCCCCTAAAAATATGTTTGTTTTTCTTACATTGGTGGCTTACACCTATGCAGATAGTTAAGAGTCAGATTTTTAATTTTAAGATAAATTTTATAAATGTTTTATTATTAAAATTAAATTTTTGAATACAAACCGTATATTTACGTAATTGGAATCGGTCTAATTATCCCTGTGAACTATGTAAATTCACTTAAGTCTATCTTTCATAGAAAATATTTTTATTAATTTTTTAAAAATGCAAAAAACTGGTATTGATATAAGCTAATAAAATTATATGTTACATAGAAATGAAGGAAGAAAATATCCTGATAAAACAGGAGAAAAGAAAGTTTGATTAATGCTTGAAAATTAATTTTTTTTGTTGTCAATCAAAAAACATTTTTTATTTTTCATTTCTAATGGAGTGAGTCCGTTGAAAATTTTTATTTTTATATTTTTTATTTCGATGGACAGTCGTTAAAATTTTTATTTTAAAATGACAAGCGGTATTTTTCTTGTTTTTAATAGACACAGTCCATCAGAAATAGTTTTGTGCGCCATTCCCACCAGTTTTCTTACAGAATTATTGATGAATATTTTTAATTGACATAAATTTGGCTTTAAGACAAAATATTAGTCAAAAAGTTTGTCAAAATTTCAACAAAAATCTGTCCATCGAAAAAGTCCGTCAAATATTAACAGTTTTCTCGTCGTGACGGCCATAAATTGAATGGTTGAAAATTTAACTACTAAAGAGGTAATACTTAATTTGAATAATTTCCTATTTTCGGCTACTGTAACACTCTAAATGATATTAATAAATAAATAAAATGTGCCTTTGGGTTGGTGAAATTACAATTTTAACCCTTTTGCACGTGTTTTGTATCTTCGACAAATCCCCTTCTGAATATGGAGTCACACCCATGCACATGAAGGTAGGTGAAAACTGCCTAAAACTGTTCCGGGTATCATTTTGCAAAGTCTAAGTAATAATTTTTCTCGAAATTGAAATAAATTTGGGAGAGGGAAGCAATATTTCTTTTGTATATTCTTTTGGGATTTTCCAAAGGGATAAGCCGATGGATGATTGATGGTTGCTAAGAGCTAATTGACACCACTCCTTGCTTTCCTTCTTGCAAGTAAATGACTAAATCCACTCCTTTTTACAAGATAAATAAAGGTAATTACCCAATCTTGCAACAATTTCCTTTCGTGATTTTGGAATCAACTTTGTGGTCAAAGTAAAGTAACTTGCAAGCTTGTAGCCTGGGTGAAAATAAGTAACGTCGTTGGTGAATGCTCATGGGCTAACCTATTGTAGCTTGGTTCAGCTTAAAATATTGGCACTTTTATTTAACCAGACTTTTCCTGATTATATTAGATCTTACTCATAAGTTAAATAGGCCGGCTTATATATATATATATATATATATTAATATATATATCATAAAAATTATATATTTATATGATATAATATCATATGTTTTATTTAAAATTATATTTTTATAATTTAAATAGATCTAACTTAATCCTAATTTTGCAAATAAGTCCTAATTTTACAAATAAATCAGGTCAAGATTAATTTTTAATCTTGTCAGAAGAGATGAGCTAAGTTCAAGATAGTAATTTTGATAGTAAGTCTAATTCTTTCAAGTCTCAGCCAAACTGGACCTTGTTTATTTCACCCCTACTTGTACCAAATTTTGCAAGTCCAAGTATAAGATCTTGAAAGCCAGTGTACCAAAAATAAAAATTTCTCAAAGTAGAATAATTTGGTAGCTTGAAACTAGAACCATATTCTTAATTAAACATTTTTTTACTTAGAAAATAAAAATTGCACCAATAAATTCTCTAAGAATTTAAAATTCAAAATTCAGAATGCCTAATTGCCACAAACCCTTCATTTCAAAATTGCTTTAAGAAATTACAAATGAATGACTCCGACTGGATTTTTACTACAATAAAAGAAACCATGCATCAAGCCATTTACATCTGGTCAGCCATGTCAAGATCAAACACCGATCGACCCCCCGCCTTCCCCCTTTTTTTGTCGGTTTCAGCTTCGTAGCATGTATAAAAGTACTTAAAAATCTTACCTGGGAGGCACCTACATCAATTAGTACAGCGAGAAGCAGCAGGAGAAAAATGTCAACAATTGTTGCAACGACCAACTACGATCGCATGAAAGAAGTGAAGGAGTTCGACGACTCCAAACTCGGCGCCAAGGGTCTCTCTGATTCCGGCATCACCACCATCCCCAAGTTCTTCGTTCACTCACCGGAAACTCTCTCTGGCATCAAATCCACCTCTAAAGAAGCTGAAATTCGGTCATTGACATCTCCGGCAAAGACTCTCCCGAGCTTCGGCCAAATATCGTCAAGCTAATCCACCAAGCTGCGGCAACATGGGGCTTTTTCCAGGTAAGGATGGTGATTCGTGTTGATATGTCGTATTACTTGGTATGGTATGCTGGTTCTTGCTAAATTATTTTAAAATTTTACAAAAATTATTCTCAATTCGTTTAGACTAAATTGATGTAAATTGGGTACATGGAGGTGATCAACCACGGTGTACCAATTGAGGTACTTAACAAGACGTTGAAAGCTATAAAATCGTTCCACGATCTGCCTCTTGAGGTGAGGTCCAAGCACTACGTCCGGCAGGAGCATCAGGGTGTCGCATATACCAGCAACAACGACCTATTTCGATCCAAGGCGGCAAGCTGGCACGACTACGTGCAAGTTTGGATGTCCCGGAACCGGTGGACACGGAGCAGATCCCAGCAGCGTGCAGGGAGGAGCTGCTGGCATGGGACGGGCACGCCACGGCGGTGGCACAGACGGTAGCAGAGCTGCTGGCGGAGGGGCTGGGACTCCCAGCGAGGCGGCTGATATCGGAGGGGCTGCTGATTTCGAGGCTCATTGCCGGCGTCTACTATCCGTACTGCCCCCAGCCGGAACTGACGCTGGGGCTCAACCACCACACCGATCCAGGGATGTTAACGGTGTTGTTGGAGAATAAAGTGGCCGGGTTACAGGTGAAGCATGGTGGAGAGTGGGTGGATGTTAAGCCGGTGCCTGGGTCACTCATTATCAACATTGGCGATTCCCTCCAGGTAACGGATCTGCAAGTTTGATAATTATATTTAGGATAATTATACTTGCGGTAGCCAAACTATTTGGGATTTCTCAGTTTGGTCCCATAACTTCTATACTCTGTAATTAAGTTTCCAGATCAGTAAAACTTGAACCAAAAAATTGATATATATATATATATATATATATACACACATAGACATAGACACACACACACACACACACACACAACAACAACAACAATTTTTATTTTTTATTTTTATTTTTTTGTATTTCTAATTTTATTTAATTTTCAGATAATATCTAATGGGGAGTACAGAAGCGTAGAGCACCGGGTGCTAGCAAACTCCCTCAAGAAACCTCGAATCTCGGTCGTGGAATTCTTCAACGTGGATAAACGGGATGAGTCTGGTTTACTTGGACCTTTGCCGGAGTTAATTAAGCCGGAGAAACCGGCCGTCTATCGGAGCTGCACATTTAAAGAGTTGCACGAGAATTTCTACAGCAAGGGCCTGGACAGCAAGTCTATGCCTGACAAACTCATGCTCTAAATACATATTGCTGCTAGCTTTCAGTATCTATCTGGGTGTTAAACCATGCAAAATCAGAAATGGTTTATAGAAAGCTGTTCGATTAAGTAGAAAAAGGCTCGAAGTTATCATGGGGTGGAGTAACTCGGGCCAAAAGATTAGATCGGACGGTTGGGAATTTAACCATTAAACTGAAGTGGTAATCCTAAATTTGAATTTCCTATTTTCAGTTATGTAACACTCCAAATAATATCAATATCTTGTGCCGTTGGTAAAGAAAATTACAATTTGGAGCCTGATATCTTTGAAAAATCCCTCTGCGAATTCGCGGAGTCACATCCCTGCAGTGGCGGAACTTTGTTGGTGTAGCAGGAGTCAGGGAAAAAATTTTCACCTTGGGAGTATATATAATGCTTCCTTTATTTTTTTTAATTTTACATATATTAGAGGATTTGTTTGTTGAGAATAGAGGTGTTCAACAAACTGAACCAAATCGATTAGATTGTATAGACTAAACTAAATTGTATAAAATCTAACCAAATTGTATATTATAATTTGGTTTGAATTTGATATTTAGACAAATCGTATAAATCGAACTAAACCGTATAGTTTTATATATATACAAAACTAAAAATCCTATCTTTATATATATAATATATTTTTATTATTTGACTGTTTTTTTTTTGTTATCTTTTATATTTATATTCATTTTAATAATTAATTATTTTTCTTTTTTAGAGTATAATTTCTATTAATAATAATAAAATTTTGTAAAATAGTATAAATATATTTATTATAAAATGTATAACTACTATAATCAATTAATAAATAATAAATTTATTAAGTTAAACATGTTGATGGATGACCAATTTTTAGGAAAAATCTGTTAAAATTTTTATAAAAATAGTGAATTTAACTAATTTTATTTTGTAAATTACAAATCGTTGTTTGAAATCGATACAAACTGTAAACCGTGATTTGGCTTGATTTATAAAAATTACAAATCGTAAAGTATGGTTTTGTTTAAATTTGAACATCAAACTGAACCAAACCGAATCACGAACACTCCTAGTTGAGAGTATGAATTGGGGGTCATTAATTTGGGACGATTTTGTCCCAGACTCCACGCCAATAAAATTTTTGTAAGTTTAAATTTTAAAATTATTAAAAGAAAGTGTATCTAATATAATTAAGCTCAAAATTCAAATAGAAGGGAGACAAAATTCTTTAAAAAAAAATTCTGTGTAAAAAGGATTAGGAATTAAATCTCAAGAGTTCCCCATTTAAATTTAAATTTCTATTCTTATGTATTTAAATTTTTACTAGAGAAAAATTTTTAAAAATGAGAAGTACTATGGCATAAGACTTGCTTATACTAGTGTTTGGGGATTATTTTACAAACTTTAGTCGTTAAACAATGACCCATGAGAATATCTATTTTACCAAATTAAGGTTTCTACAAACTTAACAGCATTATTTGAGAAGTGTTTTTGAGTGTTTGGAATATTACTTTTAGTTTTTATATTTATAAAAGAGATTTTGGAGTTATTTTGAACATTTTTGTCCTCTCACATTTTCTTAATTACTACTTTATCCCTACCTATAACCATTGATTGTTTTAAACTTTTCTATTGGTATTGGACGAGTATGGTCACCAAAGCACCACCACCCAATTCATCTAGTGTCAACAACCAGCAACAGCTGCCGTTGACCTTGCCGCTGCCTAATGTCATGCACTTTAAGTTGTGTTCATCTTGCAAAACAAGATCCAAGGCAACAAGAAAATTGCAAGATTAGGTGGTGGCGGATTATTTGGCTGTAGTGCATGAAGGAATCCAGATCGTCAATGTTGATAAACCACTATAATTTCTCGGGGAAGCTTTTCAACAACCATTGCTTTGGTTTTCCTCGCCGAGAAGGGGGCTTTTTGATCTGAAGGGAAATCCAGAAATTACTCATCCTGGCTGATAGCATACAGTTGTCTAACGGTCGGACGGTGCTCCTGGTCAATTAGGTGAGCTGGCCGACTACTTCGTTGGCATTGATTGCTTGTTTTTATACCCTGTTGAGTTGGTCTTTGTAGAAAATGAGTGCGGATAGTCGAATCAAATGCGACGTTGGCAACGACAGGGTTGATGGCAGCAGTTGCTGGTTGCAAACGTCGGACGAACTGGCTGGTGGTGCTTTGATGGTCGGTGGAGAAAAAAAGAAGAGAAGAATAAGGGGGAAGAATGAGGTTGCATTTTTTATCTCTTTCAAGTAAAAGTTTCTTTATTAGCAAATGACACTGAGTTTTATTCTAAATATTTTTTCAGGAAATTTTTTAATATAATTTATAAACATACTTAATTTTTTATTATAATTCACTTTTATTCAATTAGCTCTAACTTTTGATTTTGTACAAGTTATTACAAATGCTATCTCAGCTGGGATGGGTTATACATAAGAAAAAAAATATTTGCGGGATTGAAATTAAAAAGGTCAAAAAAACGAAAGTAATGCATATACATTTGATTATATAATAAGAATTCTTTTATAACATATTTTTTCTAATATAGCAAAAAAGTTTGGCCCATGTTACTGCATAGTTGTAATTTTTTATTTGCTCATATTTAATTTGTTTTTTAAATTTATTATTGCAGGCAGTTTTTTTAAATAAGTGATTAAATGGAGGGTTACATGGAAATTAAGAAAACGGGTAAAAAAAAAATTAAGGATTTTTTTTGTTAGCAAGTTAGGAAAGTAGGTTTGGGGGAAGTAGATTTACAGAAAATAAGTTTGAGAAAATTAAATTTTAAATAAAATGGAGTTCAGAAAAGTGAATTTAAATTAAATAAATTTGAAAAAATTAAAAACATAAATATTCAATTTATTCAAAAAATAATTGTTTTTACTTGCCAGTCCAGTGGGCAGAACTGGACTGTGTCGGGCAGAAATGGTAAATCACTATAGTAGGCTAGGCCGGGCGGAGGAGACTAGACATGTTTCTCAAAGTAGAGTAACTTGGAAATCTGTATGGCTTGGACAAAGTCTTAACTAAACATTTTTTTCTGTAAGAAAAAGTAAAAATTTAATTTATTTTGACAAAAGAACTTAAATCAAGACTTCTAAACCTCCAAATCGCTAAAAGTCAGTGTTCTGAAAAATGATAATCTTTCAAACTCCTCTATGGAAATCTATGATAGATCCTTTGATTCTTCGATTGCGGCAACAGCAAAATCAAACTTCCATGCAATAAACGCAAGAGTTTTTCCATCAGTCAAATATTATTACTTGTCTTTTCATTTCTTTTCATTTCATTTGCTACCATTTTCAAACACGAGGAATGATTGAAATATTTTCTGAAGTTTGCGTTGGAAATGTCTCAAATTCAACTTTGAGGGGTTGAAGCCATACCTTCTTAACTTTTTCGACTCCTTGAAGTAATTTCTGCAGAGTCTTCCATGCATCCTTTGATGTCTTTACATCTGATATTTTTTGAAAAGTCAATTCATCAACACCTTGAAAAATAAAAATAAAGTTTTCTTATTTTTTTGTGTAAAATCCTTTGGCACCATTTTCTAGGCATTTGATAAAACTGCTTCAGTAATTGCATCTACGGGCTCAATGTAATCTTCTTCGACAATCTCCCATAAATCTTATGATCTACTAAGAACCTTCCTTTGAATGCTCTAGTTTCCATGATTTGTTTTCAATAATTTTGAAATCTGAGGTTGGATTATGTTGGCCACTGCTATATTTTCTTAAAATATAAAGAAAAACCTTGCTCTCATACCATTTGTTGGAAGTGAGAGTTGACCCAAAAAAATTATAACTCAAACAAGAAAATATACATTGATACAATAGTGTATTACAAAAACCTCTCAAAATACTTTTTAAAATCTTCTTACAATATTTTGTGTTAAAAAGACTAATTTATTTTTTTCTCATCTCACCTTCTCTAAGCTAGATGCGGCTGGCACTTGATATTTCCCTCTTTTTCCTTCTGCTTCTCTCAAGTCTCTCACTGCTCGCTCTCTTGCTTGATTACAAGCGAAGCCACCCTGTACATAGAGGTGAGAGGTGGTTTGGACAACCGCCCAAGCTTCCCCCGAAATTTCCTACAAGAAGCTAGGTGTTTTGGTTCATTGCATTTCACCCATACGTATAGCAACTTCCATTCTTCATTAATCACTTTGACCAATAGAATTTAAGATTACTTTTTACGTAATTCAATTGTAGCCACAAAGTTGCCTGCTACACCTTTGGCCAACAAGCCTTTCTTTGCCATAACTGCGTGGCTGACTTGATGGCAATTGTTCCTTCTTTTTTTTTTTTTTAACTCATGAGCCACAGAGGAAGTCGGATATCATAATTTGCAGGGAACCTTTTAACTATCCAATAGGATTAACAAGAGGGATTGGTTTCTAACACTACTTTTGGTAGGCAAGGAAACTAAATTAGGTGGTCAATCTCCCATACTTGGGCGACATTTCCCCTGCCTACACGCAAAATATGCATGTACAAAATGTCAATTTGCCTCCTATGTTATCAAAATGTTGAACTTGACATAAAGTTGCAGTGTTGAGAGGAGAATGACCTGTAAAACTAGGCAGGCATGTTGAAATCTGCTCTGATTATAACAGTAAGCATGCAAACAAATATATAAAGTATTTGGATGTGCTGACAGAAACACCCAATACAGAAAAGGGGAAGATCTACATACCCAAGACCAGTCCTCCCGGTGTGAGAGAAGCCTACCTTGCTCAATTTCAAGAAGATTGCACTGCGTTTTTGAAAGCCCGCTCTCAAGAAATGGTCTCTAATGGCCGCATGGTCTTGATACTTCATGGCAGAGAGTCCCCCGATACCTCAAGCAAGGAGAAATATGACAGGTGGGAGCTATGGGCTGAGGTTATTATTAAAATTTCAAAGTTTAGATTAATAGGTTCGTTATAAAATTTTTAAAGTTTAGATTAATAGGTTATATTAATAATAAATAATATCAAAATTTATTTAATTTTAGATATTAAATTAAAATA